CCATCTCGCCCTCGTGAGCAATACCGACTCGCGAATGCACACCGTGCTCTCCTCCCTCGGGGTTGCGCATTTCCTCGAGCCTGCGATCCTCAGCTCCGAAGTGGGGTTCGAGAAGCCCGACCAGAGGGTGTGGGAGGAGGCTGTCCGAAGGACCGGGTTGGAAGGACTGGATTGGGAGGGGAGAGGAGGGGTGCTGCATGTTGGGGATGAGCTGGCTGCGTGTGTCCCGTGTTCTGTGAGCCGGGTTAAGGTCAGAGGGCTGACGCCGTGACAGGGATTACTGGGGTGCTAAGAAAGCTGGACTGGAAGCGCTGCTTGTCCGACGGCATGGTGAGTATAGCGATGGGTCTAGGAGGGAAGCTACAGAGGATCTGGACGGCGTAGACGTCGTTCCCGACTTTGGCGGAGTTGTGGACTATGTGAGAAAGCGCAATAACCCGTAGCTCAACTATGGTGAATCGTCTCTTCAATTTCCAACATGTGTTTCTCTAGAACAATTGTATAACGATCGCAATCTTGAAATGAATATAGATGATGAACACGGAATAATTATATATGTTTACGGAGTTACGGATGTCATTCGCGTTGAAGAAGCGCCGAGAAAGGACAGGGACGCGTCGCCTTTTTTTCATTTTGTGCCGCCTTGATCACTGCCCAAACATTTCTGTTCTGTTCGAAGTTGTCCTCAGAAGAACAGAAAATGTCCGACGAATCTGGCTGGTCACTTACCGAGTCCGACCCAGCGGTGTTCACTGCGCTGCTCCAGTCGCTGGGGTGCAACACGCTCATCGTAGACGACCTATGGACACTAGACGACCCAGCGCTGCTCTCGTCTCTGCAACCGATTCACGCGCTCATCTTCTTGTTCAAGTGGATTGGAGGTACGGAGGATGAAGCGGCAGATGGAGAGCTGAAAGGCGGTGGGCGGTACGACGAGGCTTTCCCCGGTTTCTTCGCGCACCAAGTGGTCAACGACGCCTGCGCGACAATCGCTGTCCTCAACGGGGTGTTCAACATCCCTTCCGTACCGATGGGACCAGACCTTTCCCAACTACGCGAGTTCAGCGCGGGCATGGACCCCCTCATGTCCGGGTACAGCATCACGAACAGCGCTGCGATCCGGAATGCGCACAACGCGTTATCCAGCAGTGCCAACAGCCCGTTCAGCATCGACCCGAGCTTGTATGACCAGAACGAGAAGGAGGACGCGTTCCATTTCGTGGTTTATGTGCCTGTTGCTGGGCAGCTGTATGAGCTAGACGGACTGAGGCGCGCACCGGTGCAGCATGGCGGTTGGGAAGGCGGCGAAGGATGGTTGGACGTCGCTAGGCGGACGATACAGAGGAGGATAGAGGGATACCCTCCTGGGACGCTCCAGTTCTCACTCCTCGCGGTGAGGACGGACAACTTGCCTGGGATGGAGGCGCAGCTCGAGCAGGCGAGGGCGGCGGGGGACGAGCATTTGGCCAGCGAACTCGTACATCACATATATGCGGAGAAGTCGAAGCGCGCCGAATGGGAAGTAAGTTCCTCTTCCCCTTCCCCTCCTAGCACTGTACTGATCTACCGCAGTTCGAAAACTCGTTAAGACGACATAATCACGTTGGGCTGATACACTCGTTGCTGCTCGCGCTTGCTAAGGCTGGAGGGCTCGATACGGCGGTGCAAAAAGCAAAGCAGAAGATGATAGAGGCGCGGCAGAAGGCGGCTAAGAGCGATACCAAGATGGAAGAGGATTAGTGTGGCTGCTCTTGTGGAATACGATGCATATTGTATCTGTGACTCGTTCCCTGTGCAAGCAACAGAATCATACGGGGTTCCGCATAACCACTACTGATACCAACATGAAGAAAGCTTGTATGCAACCTTGACGAGATGCCTGAATGCAGGTAATGGTTCCTCACAAGTTGAACAGAGCTTCACAGGTCCAACCGCACGATATTTGAATACATGTACAGAACGAAGACAGCGCAAGACGGTATGCATAGGTTATGTCTTTACAGGCTACAAATGAATATTAAGGGTACAAGACACATACCCGTCGACGCTATTTCGTCGTTCGTTAGTTTTCCGCCTCCTCTTCGATATCCAAGACACCTGATAGCGCATGTTCAACGAGTCCCATCCAGTCTCTCAGAGCCTCGACCGTTCTTGCCAGTTCCGCATGCACAGCTTCACTCGTTCCGAGCTGGGCATAATCCAATGGACGAATTGATGGCATCGTCAGCGGCTTGTACAGTGGCTGCGGCGAATGCATGGGTGATGCTGCAGTGGTAAACGTCGATGTGCTGTTGTTACGTGATGGTCGAGCCGAAGAAGGTGCGCTGCTGATCAAGGTCGACACGGTCAGTTGAGATGTGTTTGATAACACGGTCGTTTGCGGTGCTAAATGGGGCTGGGTCGGATGAGACATAAGTGTAGGAGATGGAGGGAGAAAGTCAGGATCAGAACTGGCATATTCTGGCTTTGGCAGACTGAGCGGCGACATTTTGCCATCCTTTGCCGCGACTGGATCCGGAAGAGCAAGTAATGTTTCGATGCTCGACATGGGCGGAAGGGTTGCTGCAGCTGCAGGTGCCGTCTCCATTGCAGCCATAGCACTTCCGATGCGTGCCAGGCTCGGACGTCTAAGGAGGCCGGCAGTGCCCCCCATTGGACTGATAAGAGTCTCCGTAGACTCTGATTTGGGCTGCATAGTTGACCACGGCACTGCACTGTTAGCACGCACCAGCGGTGTAGGGAGAGGTGGTGCGGGACCGGGTATTTGCAAGTCTCGTGGAGGAGGAGCAGGGCTGCTGGGCGCGCGGGGTCGTGCCGGAGTGCCCGAACCTGGCGCTGTTGGAAACGACCAACCAGAGAGACCCGGCTTGCTGGGTGACATCATCGGTGGCGGTTGGGTGGGAGGAAATGGCAGACTTGGAGGTGCCAGGGGGGCGTTCTTGCTGTCCATCGTGGCTGCTCTGCGCTTATTTCGCACGGTAGATTGTGGGGATGCTGGAGGAGAGTTGGAGCGTGATTTTGGTGACCTCCGAAGTTGAGGCGGGGGCTCAGACGGAAGGGGTGAATGGGATCGTGGCCCATTCGGCGACGCAGATCTCGGTCCTCCCGAAATGGGCGTGGTGGATCGCAATGGCTCGAACGAGGGAGCAGGGGATGGCAAGGCACTAGTTCCCGGAGGCTTCGGAGGGAACGAAAAGTTGAGCGCCCTAACCGTCTGGCCATCGAACGCTCCCGGAGTGCTTGAACTAGGGGGATCTCCGAGGAAAGGCTGCGGCGTTGCCTGGCGTCGACGAGAAGGAGGAGAACGCATCATCTCCTCAGGCGGTGGTGGCGGTTCGGATCCTTCTTGGAACAACATGCGAAGGGAGCGCGGTGCGGACCGAGGCCAAGGATTTGCGGTATTGGCAGTGATAGGCGTCGCCATTTCGGCTTCGTCGGCAGCAGCAGATGATATGGGCATCCGCGTAGAACGCATCGTGGCTCCATCAAACTCCCAGGCACTGATTTCATCACCCTCGAAGTCGCTAGAAGAGTAGCATTCTGTCAGCGCTGATGAAAAAGCAGGACAAGCGACCCACTCGTCTATAATATCGGCTTCATTGTCAAGATCGACGATACTTTTTCGCACACCACCATTCTCTTCCCAGGTTTTGTAGCGAAGGATAAGCTCCTTGAGCAACGATACGGGCTTCTTGGCATACGGCTTCAACCACTTGTGTTTGAGGAGATCATCAGCTGTCAAACGCTGAACGCACGTCAGGGGAACGAATAGATCCTTGAAGCAGTATCTGCTCACATCACTTGGCTTCTCCCTCAGACAAGCTGCAACGAATTCTCTCATCTCCTCGCTTCCCGCTTGTGGAGGAAGGACCGGTGGTGGTGTGTTCGGCATCACGACGAAGGGGTTAGCACGCATAGGTGGATCGCCTGTAGCGATCTCGTAGACAGTGCTTCCCAGAGACCAAATGTCCGCTTTCGTGTCGTATGATGAGGACGGGCTGATCACCTCAGGAGCCATCCAGAGTACCGTGCCAGCCATGGTCATCCGCTTGCTGTTGGCTGAGGGCAGGAGTGCTGACACTCCGAAGTCGCATAACATGACCCGTCCAGCAGAGGTCAGCAGAATATTTGCAGCTGGAGCAGGTATTAGTGCTTAGATCTCTCGATTTTGACATCTACACACCTTTTATATCTCGATGGATGATGTTTTGACGGTGCAAGAAAGACACGCCGACGAGTGTTTCTCGTATCACAACCGCCGTGTATCGTTCTTCTATCTTGCCAGCTTTCATCTATAATCATTTGGTAATCATAACAACAAAAAGTAATTAATGAGAACTCACAAGTGTCCGGATGCTTCCACCGGCTGCGTAGTCCATCGCAATCCACACATTTGCTCCTTCTAACCAGCATCCCCAGTACCGAGTCACATTGCACTGATCCCCGCCGTTCAATCGGCTCAATAACGCAATCTCCCCTTGTATCTCGCTAACATCATCCGTGGTGTCGAGATTGATGATTTTGAGGGCGACGACGCATCCTGATGGAATATGGATGCCGCGGTGTACACTCCCGTAGGCGCCTTTCCCTACCGTCTCAAGTTTGCGAAAAAGTTGTGTGACCGGTTGGTTTGTAGTAGGTAAAGGCAGCTGTGGTGCTACCGCCATAAATCTGGTGCTGTACAGTGAATGAAGCCGATTATTCAAATGAAGAATGGAACGATCGAAAAGACGGTGGTGCACAGTGTAATGTCGACAACTGCATTTCACTGAGGGTCCGATTGAAGGGCACAGGCACAGAGGGGTAGGGATATTTTGCCGCGTTGGCTGCCGCGCAGGACAGGCTACTCTACCCAACACACATTAATTCTCACTCATTGTTCAATATTGCTTGAGAAGTAGTTTAGTAGACAGAAAAAAAGCATTGGCATCCCCTGGCGTTTTTTTGGTTTCATTAAAATCTCGAAAACTTCATCAAATCAAGCAATACTGAGAGCACTGCTGAATCACGTGAGCCGCGCAGGGGCGCGGCTCACGTGATCTAGTTGCGCGGCGTTTCACCCACTTAGAATGGGATCTCTGCACAGTGAACTCCTGAACGGTGCGGTACCCTCAGTGCGGGGTCCTTGCCCTTTTTGTAATGACATCAAAATATCTTGTTACTTTTCAATGTAATAATCAACAATTTCCCCACACATCTGGAGTCCCTGTCTGCATTGGAACATTGGACTGTATGATTACTTTTCACTCAAAAAATCAACAGCTTATTGATGTCAACACTCGCTCTCCGCCCAATTGGGACCCTGACGCGGCCGCGCGCGGCTCAGGGCGGCAATTCCTCCCAGCCCGGCACAGAGCACACTTGTTGTCGAACTCTGTAAACATATATAATTATTCCGTGTTCATCATCTATATTCATTTCAAGATTGCGATCGTTATACAATTGTTCTAGAGAAACACATGTTGGAAATTGAAGAGACGATTCACCATAGTTGAGCTACGGGTTATTGCGCTTTCTCACATAGTCCACAACTCCGCCAAAGTCGGGAACGACGTCTACGCCGTCCAGATCCTCTGTAGCTTCCCTCCTAGACCCATCGCTATACTCACCATGCCGTCGGACAAGCAGCGCTTCCAGTCCAGCTTTCTTAGCACCCCAGTAATCCCTGTCACGGCGTCAGCCCTCTGACCTTAACCCGGCTCACAGAACACGGGACACACGCAGCCAGCTCATCCCCAACATGCAGCACCCCTCCTCTCCCCTCCCAATCCAGTCCTTCCAACCCGGTCCTTCGGACAGCCTCCTCCCACACCC